TTTTGACTTATGTTCTGCAATTGTGAGTTTAAGTTTGGTACACTGGTCATGAAAGATCGCGCAAACTTCATTGCAATTTTTCTGTAATTTTTCTCGCGTGGTACCCTTTACGATAAGCGCCGCGTCATCCGCGTATGCAATGATTTTAGTGTGCGCCGGCCACGTCGCTGTCAGTACTTCATTGAACGTTAAGTTCCATAAATGCGGCCCGGCGCACGATCCTTGCGGACATCCTCTAGTTTGCACCTTTTCGATAATGCCTGCATTATGCACCGCTAATAGCTTCCGATCCTGCAGGTAGTTGCTTATTATACTATATATGTTACTTGGGCAATTGGCCCTTCGTAATGCCTGCTTGATAGCCGGCCACCACAGCGTATCGAAAGCATTCTTTAGGTCTATGCTGACCATAGCCGTGTGGTGGCCGCTGTGTCTATTTTCCAGAATTGTAATTGTCTCCTTTATATTATGGAGGAGCATGCACCGTCGATGAACCAGTCCTGAAGCCATATTGGCTGCTGCTGAGATAACAACCGTTGAGATGCAAGTGGTGGCGCAGTCTGTTGATGATTAGCTTCTTCCAACACCTTCCCCATCGCCGACAAAAGGCAGATGGGTCTGAATGATGAGGCTTCTGAAGGATCTCTGTTTTTCTTGAGGAATAATACCACTTGCCCTATTTTATATGGTGTTGGAAAAAGTCCTACTGACAGAAGCTTATTGAAATAGCTTACGTAAGAATGTAGTAGGGAATTACTTGCCTCTTATGGTAGTCTACACTTTTACGATTGTGTGACTGGATTTGAAGCTGCGAAGGCTTGCTTGAAACACCTTCCCCGTTGCTATCTTGTGATGCAGCCCGTATATACTTCTTTTGTATTGGAACAGAACTCTCTCCAAGATGTTACTTTTGGCCTGGATGATCATCCTTTTGTATTTTGCTCGCTCTCTTTGAAAAATGGTGAGTGTGTCCGAGATGATCTCTAGCCGCCTCTCGTACTTCAATCTCCTTCGCAAAAGCCCTGCATTTACGCTGTTGCTTCTGTAATGCGCCCGTCCACCAGTGCATTTCCTTTATCTTCTGAGGTTTTTTCTTGGGGAGATTTTGGTCACAAACTAATTGTAGGGTGTTCTGTAGCCTGATGGGAGAAATTCTCTAAGTCTGCCATTGTGTCTGCATGCTGTAGCGCCGGTTCAAGAGTTTCCAGGTGCCTTTTTAACCTTCCTAGTGAAGGTAAGGAGCTTTCTACCTGGGAGATTGTACCTTTTAATTTTGGTGATAGATGTCGACTGCCGCAGAGAGTAAGTTATAAATTTGTGATCACTTAGACTTTCTTGATCATCTACTTTCCAATCTGTCAGTAAGAACGCTGCTTGCAAAGACGTAATAGTGAGATCGGGCCAGCCCCGAGCGAAGATTCTGTCGAAGGAGGGTGGCGCTTCTGCGGTATTGTGGATAACAAGATTTTTCGAGCTGAGGAAGTCCTCCAGTTCTCTGCCCTTTGTGTCCGTGGCACGATAGCCCCAGGTAGTATTATGGGCGTTATAATCTCCCCCGAAAAGTACGTATGGAATCTTTATCTTGTGTAAAACTTGCTCCATGAACCTTGCAGTGGGCCCAATTTCCACTGTCGGTGGCGAGTAGCTCGAAGCGATCGATGGCCAAAGTAAGTGAATGAACTTCCAGGAGGAGTACTGCAATGTTGTCTTGTTCCGCTGCGATGATAACCGGCGACCAGTCCGGCCTGCAACATACTAAAATTGCTTTTGGTGCATTATCTTTATCTATTTTCTGAAAATACCGTCCATTTTACCGGGAAAAACCTACTGCCATCCCCTCTCTGACATAAGGCTCTTGACCAAGGATATATCTATGTTCTTTTCGATTGCATATTGTATTGTTTGAGCGACTGCCGCTCTGGCGCGCTGCCATATTGATTTGTAGTATTTTCACCGGTGTTTCTTCTGCTATAGTCTCTCGGTTGACAAGTACATCAGTTTTTGACTGGGCTTCCGCTGTTTTGTGATATGATGCTATTATCAGTACTGGGTAATACTTCTGATATATGCCGCTGCACGTTGGTACTCTGGACACTCCGCTGCATATGCCGGGTGCCTGCAGTCATACCTAGCTCCGTGTCTCTCATTTGCATCCGACAGTTAATGCATTCTGGAAGTTCGGCTTTACATTTGCTGGTGTGATGGGGTCCGGCGCCAGTAAGCACAGAATTCCTTTTTGCAGGTACATTGGTCTTGTGTGTGGCCGAGCTGTTGGCACTTGTAGCATCGGCGTATTCCCAAGTACTCTGTAATTTTTATGTGCGTGCCATCCGATGTAGATTCTTCTAGCTCGAAGGACTGCCTGGATACAGGAGGGGTCGCATTCCAGGACCCATTTAACACGCATTGGATTTCTCTCTCTGAGCTTGAAAAGGGCCTTGACATTTTTGGTTGAAATGCTTGTTGTCGTTGCCAATTCGTCGATGAGATCCTCCGGTTTTAACGGAGTCTGAGACGTTGTGAATTGTGCAACGCGGTTTCCTTCGTTGTCGTCTGCGTAGGCTGGCATCGATGTTGGCTTTCTGCAATGCCTCTTCTAAGTTGTCGACGTCCTTCGCTGTCTTGCAATAGACCTCTATCTCTCCTTTTGCTGTGGTGGAAATCCTTTTCCACTGCTACTTGCAACTTGCTGAGAGGCGCCTTCTCTTGTAGCTCTTTTCTCAGTTGTGTTTTGTTCTTTTTGCGCAGAAGGTTTTAGGATTAGGCTGGGTTTCTGCGTAAGCTTGACGACCTCTGCAAACGACCTTGGCGTTGTGTCCTGTGCACCAGCAAATGCCTCTGGAACTGGAGGAGTGGCTCTTTGCTGAGGTTCACTTTGTGCTGCCGTGGGCGGCGTGTGCAGCTGGCTGCAGCAAACAAAAGTGGACGTATTCACACCTATCTCTGCAGTAACTGGCTTGGGCTTAAAGTCTTAAAGTCTTCACCCTCAATTGCTAAGCCCTGTAGGATACTTAGAGATTGCTGGACCCGATCTCGGAGATCCTGCGGAAGAAGATGCCTTCCCTTCTGTAAGTGGCAGTGATCTGCCAGATGTCTTTGACAAGGGCTTTAACTCGGTCCTCGTGGGTCAATTCCGAGGTTTGTCAGCGCATTTGTATCCAGTGGCTCTTGTAAATTTTGGGTGTCCGTGTTCTCTGGCAACACTGAGGGGGTGTGTCATGTCACTTTAGTATCGCACGATCCGCTTTACGCTGAGAAAAAATTCACTAAAAAAACACTTGGTGTAGCTTAATGCACTTTTGCGAATATACACGATGCGGTAAGCACTGATGACACTTTCACTAGAGCACTCTTATGTGAGTAGACACTATGCACTAATTACTGATGACACTTTCACTAAGGCACTCTTAACAGCTAAACGCGATGCCCTAAACATTGTTTTTACTTTAACTAAGGCACTTTAATGCGAAGAATCGCAATGCACTTAATTTTGGTCAAATAGATAACATATGTCACTCTGTGCACAATTAATCAAGAACTATCTGTATACACCATTAAGATAACTTGACACTTGTTTAATAAATCATGAAAATCACTTTGTGCACGATAAATCAACACTAACTGCCTATGTCAAAATAAGAACACTCATTAAATAAATTACACAAATAACATGTGTCACACTGTGCACAAGTCATAAATAGTTAATTGTATATATCAATTAAAACTTCCTAAGCACTTGTTAATGATGTCACATATATCACTTGCACACACAATTATCAAATACTAACTATAGATGCTAATTAAATTCACTAAGCACTTGTTAAACAATCGCATATATCACTCTGTGCACAAATTAATGGGAACTGACTGTATGTCAATTAAATTCGTTATTCAATATTAATACACAGTTGTTCAACAGTGAAGCAACTATGTCAATAAATACACTCAAAATTAAGACCACTGAAACAAGTAACGTGAAGATTTGTTAATTACAGGTAATTAACTTCACATACATTAATTAATCTATGGCACCTATCAGACTACAGTTTGCTTAGATGTCACGATATGCGGACTACACACAAAATAAATACCACAATGTTGTGAAATATCAAAATAAAGTTGCTAATAGCAGGTAATTAAATACACAATTAAAAACTTATCTGCGCTACTTAGCAAAAATCTGTCAATTAGCTTAGCATATGCTTCTTACTCAGTGCTACTGCACCATCGAAGCAGAGCAACACACAATTTAAATTTTAAAATTAGGAAAATTAATTACATTAATTAAATAGAAACCTGTATCTTAGTCATTGAAGTAGCTAACAAAAAGAGTACTTGTCCATATTATGTAATTGATTACATCCGGCGGAAAATTAAATCAATTATATAGCTAAAACTCGGAAAATAATTAGATATTTAATTATTGTAGAGAAAGCCTACCTTGGCCGTTATTATCTTATCTGTGGCTTTCTGTACAGGATGCTGCTGCTGCGGAACTGCGTAATCCAGATTATAGTCACACAACACTTAATTATGCAAATCACTGGCACAATCACTGGAAGATGTAAATTCTAGTCCGGAATAAAAACACAAAGTTAATATCTCTAGTTGTACTCGTTCAAAAATTTCGATTTTTAAATATCCGTGATCCTTATCGCGTGAGGATTCCAAATCCAAGGGTCCCGACGAGCTACTCCAATTAGCCGCTTGATTAGCAAATTGTGCTAATAATCCTCATTCCTTCTTCCCGTTTTTGTTAGGTGAAAGGGAATGGCATTATTAACACACACGGTACTCACTGTTGACACAGCACTTTTCGCACACAGATGACGAAAATCTAAGTCCAAATAATTAACTCAAAAAATACTAACTCCGGAACTAAAGGGTCGATTGTCTCCAAATTTAGAATCCTGTATCCGCGAGCGGATGTTAGGAGGATTAGTGTTGGTCCCGAGTCAGGGGAACTAATTGGTTATTAATTAACGGCTTGTTAAAGAATGCCCGCTTACACTTGAACGTCCTTGACTATTTTCTCCTGCCCGTGGTGGGAGGGACGATTGCTTCCAACGTACGCTCCTTTGAACTGGTTCTCCTGCCCGTGGGGGGGGGACGATTGCTTCCAAGGGTCGCTCCTTTGAACTGGTTTTCTTGACGTGCAAAATATGCTAACTTAGAGTTTCAGAAAATTTTTAAAAATTGATAAAAAAAATCATCCACTTATCCAATTCCAATGAAACAACTTTTGTGGTAATGCTGGGAAGTTGCTCTTTCTGATGGTGTAAAAAATTATCCTCTGCGATGGACAACGGCGTCTCGACTGGGTGATAAAGCTAGCGGTAGCACAGAAAATGGCACAGAACAATGTAGTGATTTTCAACTTTAGTTTTACTCGCGAGTAATTGAAAAACATAATACCAAAATAGGTAACAACTCATTTCTCGCCTTTTTGGCGATAAAGGTAGACCTCACATGAGGTAAAAGTCTTGAATTCTGCCACTTGCAGTAAGAATGAGAGATTAACTTACAAAGGCTGCAAAGTAACATAAAGTTTTACTTATCTTTGTGATATTCGGACATTCTTTTTTCTGCCCAGTCCTGGAAGGTAGCAAAGATTAGCGTTTGGTTTATCTTCCTTCTTGTGCGGGCTCGCCCTTCAGTTCCTTCCTCTATGAGCTTTCTTTTCCCTCCAGTTCGGTCACCCTTGAAGACCTTCTTTTTCGCCTCTGCCTGTGGTCTTGGCCGTTTGATGGCAGCTGGTCTTGGCGGAACCGGGACACTTCTCTCTCGTTCCTGCTTGGATCTCGTTGCTGGCCGTTCAAATTTTCCTTGTATCTTTGCCTCCGCCGCTGGTGTTCCTTCCGCAATTCGTCGACATTTGCTGCGTAGAGTCCTGTCCGATGGGTAGATCTTCCGTTTGGGAGCCGGGTTATAGTTGCCGTTATTTCTCCTGGCTCTCTTTGCATTCGTCGTACTTCTCCCTTCTTCATTCTGGAGGTGGTCGTGCGCTCTCTTTTCTGGTCGGTGGAACGGCTTCTTTTTCTTGTTACCTTCAATTTTCCAACGGGGAAACTTTCTTTTCAATTGCTCCTGCCTCCTAATGGCTTGCCGTTGTGCTTGTCGTTGTTCCACCTCTGGAGCTTGTGCCTGCCGTGCGGGATCCTGCAAAAGATCTTTAAATATTTGCATTTTTTTATTATTATTACATTATTTGCATTATTATCATTATTGTCATAGTATGGTTTTATCTGGTCAATGTTTGCGGAGCATGTTTCACCATTCCTGGCTTCATTCCTTGTTTGGTGTTTTCCTTCCTAACACCACTACAGCGTGAGTTATTTTTTCTATGACATATGGTCCTTCAAATCGTTGAAAAAATTTGGCGGTTTTATCTTCTGGTGCTGAAGAAAGTGAATGCTTAATTTTTAATACTTCATCTCCTACTTTATAAGTTACTCCCCGTCGTTTCAATACATCATGTCGTATAAGCTTTCTGTTTTCTTTGTGCTACTTCAGTGTTCTTTTTTGCTTCTTTAATTAATTTTTCTATATCACCCATTTTAAATTCTGGGGCTCTTTGTTGAACATAAAATAATTTATCTAACGGCGTTATAATCTTTCTGCCTAAAAATAACTCAGCAGGAGTTTTTGCCCGTTGTATCATGTTTTGCGGTCCTAAGGGCGAAAGCTAATTCATTGACATAGTTATCCCAGCTTTTATGAAAATTTTTAACATAACTACGGATAATTTTCACTATATTTCTATTGACCCGTTCCAGCTATATTTGATTGCGGCCGATACGGGACCATTTTTAAATGACGTATGCCCAGTTTTTGGCACATGTCTTCAAATATATTACTTACAAATTGAGGACCATTATCCGATATAACTTTTAGGGGGGCCCCGTATTTTAAAATATATTTATTTAAAATAGAATCAGTAACTAATTTCGCGGAGGCTCGTTTTAAAGGGAACAATTTCGGTCCACTTACTAAAATGATCAACCATAACAAGGAGATACCGACTTTTATTTAACTGACTTTTTTTGGGAAAGGGCCCAATAAATCGATGCCAATTATTTCATTTGGAAATTCGGATTTAATACTATTTAGAAACCCGCCGGGTGGAAATTAATATAATTAACTGCTTGACATGTTGGGCAGGACTGGACATACGCCCTTGTTAACTTTTGCAGTTCAGGAAAATAGACTGCCTCGCGTACGCGTTCGATAGTTTTTCGAATACCAGCATGAGAAGCTAATAGGCTGTCGTGTAACTCTTGCAGGATATTTAATCTAAGACTAGCTGGGATAACAGGTCGAAATTCATTGTTGGAATTTGCAGTTTTTGTATAAAATAATAGACCATCTATTAGTTCGTAATGGGCCGCCCTATTTCTTATCGCCACAATATCTTGGTGGCTAAAATTTTCAGGATCCTTTAAATACTCATAAATGTTTCTAAACTCAGGATCCTTACCCAGTTCGGTTATTACAGTTTCTCGGGAATTTATTGTACATGCTGTGAGCATTGCCACCTTTACAGTATTACCTTCTTCATCTATTTTATTCTGGATAGGGCATCTGCTACGATATTTTCCTTTCCGGGGTGTGCTTGATTACCAGATTATACTCTTGTAACTTGAGTGCCCATCTTATTAACCTTGGGGATAAGTTTTCCCTGAGTACAATCTAGTTACCGCCGCATGATCAGAATACACTGTTATTGGCGCCCTTCCAAAATAGACTCGGAACTTTTGCACTGCTAACAGAACTGCAAGTGCCTCTCTCTCGGTCGCGGAATAATTTCTTTGTGTTTGATTTAAAGTTCGACTAAAAAATTCCACGGGCTGCTGATTTTGCGAAAGTACCGCTCCTACCGCATAATCCAAAGCATCCGCTGAAATTTCTAAATTTTCATCTTTTTCAGGAAATTTCAAAACCGGGGCTTGCGTTAATGCTTGCTTTAATTTTTCGAAAGCACTATTGGCTTCGGCCGTCCACGAGAAGCTTGCCTTTTTCCTTTTTAATTTTAACAATGTTTCAGCAATAGCTGCAAAATATTTTATAAAGGACCTATAATATGAACAAAGTCCTAGAAAAGAAGAGAGCTTCTTCGCCGTATTTGGCGGCGGATACTTTTGCACAGCAATTATTTTTGATTCGTCTGTCTCGATTCCTTTCTGAGATATTTTGTAACCTAAGTATTTTAATTCAGGGGCTGCAAATTTGCACTTTTCGACATTAACTTTTAGACCGGCCTCATTTAATAATGAAAACACCCGTCTTAAATCCTGTACATGTTGGTCCAGATTATCACTAGTAATAATGATCGTCTAAATAGATAAATGTGGACTTTCCAAGAACAGGCCTTAGCACAATGTCTATACATCGCTGAAATGTTGCCGGTGCCCCTGAAAGGCCAAACGGCATACGCAGGAATGCATAAGTGCCAGACTTGGTTATAAAAGCAGTCTTAGGCACGTCTTCTGGTCTAACTCCTATTTGAAAATAACCAGTTGTTAAGTCTTAGGCACGTCTTCTGGTCTTACCCCTATTTGAAAATAACCAGTTGTTAAGTCTAAAGTCGTCATGTATTTGATAGACGTTATGTTCCTTAGAATTTCTTCAATAATAGGTAACGGATATACCGGATATTTAGTCATGGAGTTAGTTTAATTTACCATAGTCAATCGCAAAACGCCACCTTTTTGGGTGTGTTACTGGATAGTCATTGTTTTTCTTACATAAAACAACCGGGCTAGTATAACTACTTGAGATGGGCGTTATGATCTTTTTACGTAACATATCTCTAATGTGCCACTCTATAATTTTTTCTTTATTCTTATCATACCGGTATGGTTTGTGGCGAACTGGCAGTGAATCTCCGGTGTCGATACTATGGTTAGTAACTTGAGTAAATCCTGGAATATCACTAAATAACGAAGCAAATTCACTTACCACTTGTCGGATTTTTTGTTGCTCTTCCTTAGGCAGGTGGTCAAGGTTTAACATTGGTGGTTCTGTTTTCTCTTCTCGAACTGGTTTCATCGTCAGCTTAAGGGACGCTTCGTTAAAATCCAGTGTTGCTTCTGCCTCTGAAAGAAAATCTATTCCTAAGATGATATGTGCTTGCAGATTCTTTACTATAATAAACATAATCTTTACTTGTTCGTCCTTGATACGAACGTATAGCGGTAATTTACCTATACACTTGCATCTTTCTCCCTGCGCAGCTAACACTGTCGTATTATCTGAATTATATATGCGGTATTTCCGAAAATACTTCCTAAAAAAAGCTTCTGCCACACAGGAACACTGCGCGCCTGTATCCAGGAGTGCGGTGGCTGGGATGTTATTCACCAACACATCAATCTTTGGAAGAGTCAAATTTTTCACCATCACTGTATTTAACTTGAAGGAAGAGGGGTTTTCTTGGCCTTCGGATTTCCGCACCCTCCCGTCAGCAGAAATCCGTTTTAGTTTAAATCTTGGGTTTTTTTTTTTTTTTTTTTTTTTTTTTTTTTTTTCCCATGCTTTCCTTCTTTTTCCACTGGCCTTCAGACTTTTTTCCTGGATTGCTATTGAACTGTCGACGTTCGCCGGCTGTTTTTGGATGCTCGGGTTTCCTTGCCCACTGATTCGCTTTGCTTCCGTAGCCGTGTGCTTGACTTTGCTGTGGTCTTGGCGCACCAAATTGGTTTCGTTGCTCATATTGGCGTCTTCTTTCAATGCCCGCCGTTCTTCTACTTTCAAACTGGATTGCTAGCTCAAATAACTTTTCCAGTGTAGTCGGATTCCTTAATTCAATAAAGTCTTGTACTTGGGGAAGTAACCTCGGCAAAATCACTTGAATTATCTCAGGATCCGGACGGTTTCCCTACAAGAGTTTGAAGACGTGAATTTTTCTTAAAATAAAGGTGGAAACATTTTCGATTCGTTGCTGATATATGCAGAAAAGTTCCGTTTCTAATTTTGCACGATCCCTTACGACAGGGAAGGCTTTTACTAGGGCAGTCTTGAAATTTTCGTAAGTAAAGGTGGGACTTCCTGCTTGACCCAAGAGACTTCTGCCTATACATTTGAACCAATTAAGCGCTTGGCCCCTCAAAGCGCTGGTAGCTAAGGTGACTTTCTGGAACTCATACACGGGATACATCATGAAGTGGTCCTCCAATTTTTCCAAAAAACTGGTTACCGGTGAGTTTCCATTAAATGTTGCTTCTGGTTTCATTGATGCGCGCATGGTCTGGACGATGTAACCAAATCCTTCCAGGGCGGCAGCTGGCATTTCTGGATTCTGAGCCGCTTCTGCAGGCAGCACAGGTTCTTCTTGAAACTCGGCCATTGTTATTCTTCTCCGTCGGGCGCCACTATCAGGTTCAGTGTTCCTCCTTACTTGCTTGGGAAACATTCAATGACCTGACTCGGAACAGGGAGCTTACTAAAGCTATGTTCAATAAATGTGGGAAGTAGACAAGATACACAGGAAGGGTATACGAAACCCTTTATTTTTCTCTCTTTACAATGGCTTCCGGTCTTCGGAATACAGAGACCAACCACTTGTGGTCTGAACGTAAGAATATAAAAATATTAACTAAATTCTAACTAAAGTAACTTTGGATTAATAAACAAGGGTCTACTTGAAGATTGGCCGTATATTAACAGAAAGGCCGTATGTAGTACAGAGAACTGTTAACACTACGATACGTTTAAAATTATCAAGAGGATTAAACCTCTGGCCTTGAAGGCAACTAGCAACCGAATAAAACTGCTAAGGCAAGCGGCCTGCTTCTACTAACTCCTTCCTCTCTCTTGCTTGGCAAAAAGCCACAACTTAAGTACTTGACGTTCGCAAGACAAATTTGCATAAATAATTTAAAGCTTTTAATTCTGGCCGGAAGTAGAAAATAAGAAGTGATAGTAAAGATTTAAAATAAAATAAACGTTAGTAAAACTTAAGATCCTTACATCTCTAGGTACCATTGTGATAAAACAACGGTACCTAGAGCTACCAAAATTTGAATAAAGTAATCTTCCATAGAATATGGGCATATTTAAGCCCTGATTTGAATTTGAAATTTGTTTTATTATCGATTTCATATTTTGAAAGACTTTAACGAATTTTTGATTAACAAACTCAACGATTTAAAAGCGAGCAATAGCAACACTCTACGGGGAAAAAAACTCTTTATCTGTAGCGCGCGGAATTGTGCATCGGAAATTCTAAAGATATGCCCATTTTAAAATTATTTTGCGACATTGTTGTTAAACTGAATTAAATGGTTTAAGTGCAAAGAACATGAAATTTAATAAATAAAAGTAACACAAAAAAGTTAAAAAAACGGCCCTTTTGGACGGAATTTAAAATCTGAAACATTTCAGATTTTAATTTTTTGTAATTTAATTTATAATTGCTTTTTTTTTTTGCGAACGTTTAGAAACATCTGAGTATATGCGTATGGGCTACTTTCGTATCATTTACGGAGCTTCCAAAAAACCTATGCATTTTATTCGATTTCTTGTCCTCTTGTTCTCTTACATTAATAATTTGTATCAAATGTGTAATTAAGTGAATTTTACCTTCTGATGCACATATTTTTCAGCACATTAAAGGATACTGAGCTGAACGGATATTTCATCCCAAAACATTCTCGAGTTCTTGCAGTCCTATATGCAGTTCATCATGATAAGAAACTCTGGGGAAACGATACTGACGTGTTCCGACCTGAAAGATTTTTGAGTGAAAATGGAAAAAAAGTTGTTAAGCCTGATTACTACATTCCTTTTTCTATTGGTATGCATTTTCTACGCTTATTACAATACTTTTTGTTTAGGCACAGAAATTACGATTTTAAAAGAGTTACACTTTTGTAACACTTTTTTTGGCTACGTACATCTTTAATGGAATTTTTTTTTTGCTACAATAATGATTTAAATTAATTTAAAATGTTTTTATTTGTAACCATATAGATATTTTTAATTTAATTTCTGATTCATTGAAATATTCAGATCCTTCTTCCTTACTTTTAGCTTCCCTCTCGCATCACTTGATTCATAATTCTGTCACTTACTTGTTCAAAACGAAAGTTAAAAAACCTCCCATCAACTGGAAACGTCTGACCGATAACTGCAGAGAAATCGGATAAGAGATAATTTTAAGACCTTTATTATGCCTCACGATGTCTACTATGGTAAATAATAAACAGACTACGAAATCATCAGTCATGTGTCAATCCAAAATGCAATTTGTTGAAGAAGTACGCTCCCGCTGTTGGCAAAAGAGTTGTATTTAAATAGGATTTGTCTGTTACAAAGACTCTCAGAATATTTCCTGGCCGCTATGCTATGTTGACGAAGTTCTGCTTTCACAGACTGCTGATGTTGAAAGCTCCACAGTAGATGGCTTGAAAGTTTAAAATCCAGAAATAACATTCATACGGTAATGAAAGTTAATGAAGGATTCTCCTTTATAGAATCTCTTTCTGTTTCGGAAGCAGTGATGGTCTAACATTTATCTGCGCACTACACATAGCCGAAGCCGTTGTTAAGAAGCAGCATCATATCAGTCCTGCTCGCAAAATAACTATATGCGATGGCATGGTGTAGAGTAAGCGTACCCTTATATTCTTTCTTTCTGGTGCACTAACAGATCAGCGTTACATTGATATGATCACTGAGTCATTCTTACAAGGTGTCTCATGTTTTTCAACATGAGAACATTAGGGTGCATGTCACTTGTGCTTTTCTGAATAATCTGTATGAACTTAATTTGCTACCGGTGAGTCCCCCCGTCTCCAGACTTCTCTGCCATTGAGCACATTTGAGACAACATAGGTCAGCTACTACAAGTTAATACTTTACAAGCCCAGTTGCTTGCAGTGTAGAAAAGCATTCCTCGGATAGCGATTACCAAACTCACTGATAGCATACTAAGGTATGTAAGTATATGTATTTGTCGGTATATAGTTATAATGATCCATAGAGAATAAATGGAGATGATTTGAACATTTTTGTTTCTAGATTTTGTTATTTTGTATATGATTAAAAAATACTCCTATTAACTCTAGATGAACTGCTTAAGATTCCTAAACCGGAAATTTAAACTAGATTTGATTTTACTAGTTTAACTTTTAGCAAGTCTTTACCCTTTCCCTTCCTTGGTAGCAAACATATTAAGCCTACCTAGATGTGAGTCGTATTGATTCAGAATACATGGTCAAGTTTATCGCATGAGGATATCACAAGTGAAATCATTGGCTGTAAAAGAGAGACATTTAGCTTCATGTTATTTATTCTACCACAGCGAATCAAAAACTAGTAATTGAATTTTTCAAATAATATTATGCTGTCTTTGTAAAAGCAATACGTGAATTTTGCTATATGAGACGGTTTTTAAATTACTTAATTAAATTTACTTGTTTAATTGGACATGGAAAGAAACTTGTGAGTGACAGCTACGCTCGAGACATAAGAACCCCATAGATAAAACAATAAGTATTTTGCAACAATTTTCTGATAGTATATTCATTTAATGATACAAAAGATAACTGACTTCATTTTAAAATAAAGGCACTCAGTATCTCCACGGACAAAAAAAAAAAAATAAATAAAAAAATAAAAATAAATAAATAAATAAAATAAATAAAAAATATTTATCAGGTTTTATCAGAAAGGTTATGTTTTTCAAATAACAAAAAAAGCAGTCATAAGTGAGACTTGATACTTGCTTCCTTGAGACTCGTATCTTGCCAGTTTAAATTAAAAAACCTTAAACTAAAAATGATATGAACTTTATGTTAATCAGAATGATTTCTTATTTTTTCTGTTTGAACTACAACTAGAATTACGCGTATTACCAATGAATTATATTATTCATTCCATCCAATGTATGAGCTGTTTTTTGAAAATAACTTTTATGAAAACTTTACATTTATTATTTATTCTTTGTTAATTATCTCATAGGAAAACGATCCTGTCCTGGAAAATCACTCGCAGAAGTGGAAGTATTCTTATACGTAACAGCAATACTACAAAAATTCGATGTTTTCATGCCACCAGGAAAAGTACCGGATCTTGAAGGTGTCCTCGGAATAACATTGCAACCTAAAAGACAGGAATTAATTTTCAAATTAAGGCAATAAAGGAATCTATATTTTAAAAGTTTATGGCTTAGCCTCTCAATTTGATCAAACGGTGTACAAGCAATGAAGATGTAGACTTTAGTGGAACAGATAACTTGGATCGCCATGACAGTAAATTTACTGAGTTTTTAGCATAATTTATTGATATGGACGAGGAATTAGTTAGCAAAATAAAAATTTTAATTTTGCCTTTCGTTATTTTTTTTTTTTTTTTTTGGGAGTCTGACATAAAAATGAAGATGTATTTATACGTTAATTATTTCGAAATAATTAGTTAGAGTTATTCTGATGAATTATTTACCATTCTTTAAGGACAGACCGTCAATGCGCACAGTAACTATTCCTTTTCTAAAAGTAACCTATGATCAGCCTTGTCAAAAATTAAATAAATAAACATAGAATTAAACAAATGAATGAAATAAAATAAAACGTTGTAGGGTTCCTCACTCTTTATGTCTAAATGAACATCGAGGAAACTAGTGAAGTGTTTAGCGAGTTATCGCTGAGTTCAAATAACTAAAGATATAGTCTCAAGAAGGGTTAAACTAACCTTTATTTCACTCAAATAAGAATAACAGTTGGCCCCTTTCTCGGGCTTACTATAAAGCCTCCAATAGGGCTTACTCACAGTAAGAAATAAACTTTAACTAACTAAAGGGCCGAAGCTAAACACAAGTATCTAACGTAGTTGCCCTTAATTTAAACTAGCCGGAGAATAACAAAAGGCACGTAACATACGGCCGAGCGTTACAGTTTTAGGCCCGAATGCAAACACGCGTTACTTAAGATTCCTAGTTCTCTCTATCGACGTAAGTTGAACCTTCCTTTAATACTTCTTCTCACTCATTCAACGCGATTCTAAAACTCATTCTGGTGGGAAGTTGTAAGTGGAAATAAGAACTGATAGGAAAGGGACTTTAAAATTAGAATAAGTGTTATAAAATTAAAATATTCCTTATAAGGTAGTGGCATTTTCTGAATAAATTTCACATAATTTTGCTGAATAATACTCGAATACACCGAGTAGTTTTCAGTTACAAACAGCTGCGTTTGCTGACGAACCCTCGGATCCAAAACATTAATCTCCAACGCCAAATAAATGCCCTTCTGGGTAATGAGATTCAGTTCGGTAGCAACAAAGTGTTTAAGAATGTTTTTCTGTGTTTTTTTATGCTCGCATAAGATATGGAAGTCCGGGAAAATTTCATAGCCTGTTGTGCATTGTGATACTAGAAATCAAGCAATTTTAATTTCGAATGATTTAATAAAAAAATTAGAGTGAAAGATGCAATGACTTGAGTTACGTATTTAAGATCGTTTATTACTGCAATTTTAATGACGAAGGAAAAAAAGTTATGCCAAATGCTCGTTTTATTAGATGGTACTCCAAATGATGTAAATAATTATATATTAATATACTGCACCATTAAGAATCTAAATTGCAGATGAACTAAATTATTATTGTAATTTAAATGCTTTGATGCAGATTAAATAAACTAGCAGACTGAAATTTTTATCATCAATAAAACTCGTGTTTAAAATATTTCCTTATTTTAATTTAATCTATAAAATCAGGGTACTGCCTTATTATAATGGCCATTACACAGTCAGCAAAAATACTGGGAAACTTAATTACCCAGTCTATAAGGTACAAATTTCAAATGTCTTCAATGGCTTATGTGGTGGCCGCTACAACACAGAAGTTACACAGTTAGGACAAAAAAATCAATCGCTAATAATTTCCATTATCAAAATCACTCCTTTTCTGATGAAAGCTATTCATGGTGAGTTGTTTCAAGAAGTAGCGTCATGAATGCTGATTTACACCACCTTCCAAAATATTACTTAATGTTACTAACTCATTGGATTGTTCCTTCTTTACATCTTTATTAGAAGGATGACTTGCAACAATAGAGGAGAATTTTACAAATTTGAAATTAAACTGTCTTCTTTTGCATAAATACTTTTATAAATTTCTACACATTGCATTTTTGGAATGATTTTTCGAAAATATCATCTTTAATAGCCGTAATTAATACTTCCTACTCTCCGGAAAACACCAAGATGCTCCTTGAAGAATGGGAACTCTTACTCCAAGAACTGTTAAATAATCTAGTACTGAGTATTGACATGTGGAGCAACACAATCTTTGCAGTTAGGGGAGATCACATCAATCAATAAGGTTATTTGGTTTCTTTTTTCTCTTGGATAAACAGTTTTTTTGCACCATCGCCATTCGTTAATAAAGTCTTTTTCTATTCGTTCCGTACTATATGCATCTTATTTATTTTTTCTAGAAAACTTTCCTTATCCTTTAAGTACTATAAGTATCATCCTTTAAGTACTATTAGTATATATTGTGCTTTTGTAGTACGAATTTCTTGTCTCCCATTTGATTTTTTGCTGAATTACTGCCAAATAAGAAACGACACTTAGGTTTTGCACACTAGTGCATGTGCAGTGGGACTAGGTATAGGATAAATATTTATTATTGTGTTCTTGAAGAAATAAAAGACGATTTATGACTTTTCTACATTTTTTATATAACAACATAGTTTGAGTTTCATATGGTGAAAAAAATAATTTTAATTAAACTCCGTTGCCATTGCATTGGTAAATAAATGTACTGAATGTTGACTGAAGTAATCACATTTACATTTAATTTTGGAAAAAAGCATTTCTAGGAAAAAAAAAAAAAAAATGTTTTCATTTTACCTTACTCGTTTTTTCAAGAATGCCGCAATGATATAATTTTGAGCTACGGATAGTTTCATTATTAAATAAATGGTTTTAAGTTAGTGGAAGATCGTTCAACTTTTCGTATGGGTCGTTGTGCCAAAAGTTGTACAAATTTAAGCCGATCGCGTTACGACAGCGTTTTTCAATCTATGGTCAGTTTTTCAATCGGAGTCTGCTATTGTGGTCTTCCTAGATTTAAAAAAAAGACAAAAATTAAAAATAAAATTTACTGATTGAAACGTTCTACTGAAAGTGGCAAACTGTCTTTAAATGAAAGAGAACAGCTAATTGAGCCCTCGAATGACACCATACTTAAAATGTAATTTCAAATAGAACGTGTGGTCAGTATTAAGATATCATTACCAGTGAAAACAGAATATGGTGGTCTGTACAATTGTGCTCTAAAAATTATACTTCAGTTTGTGTCTACATATCTGTGTGAGAAGGTGTTTTCATCACTTACTCAAATAAAAGCAAAATACCGAATTTGATGTACATGTAATGCATGACGTATATGCCTATCCCAGATTTAAACTTAATATATCCACCATAGGAAAGCTGTACAAAAATTGATTCGTTCATCCCTCCCATTAATTAATGTGAGTACCAATAAAATTGCTTTCGAATGAGACAAATATAAGGTGGACCGTAGAACATTATAATTTATAAAAGTGGTTCCTACTTGAAAAAGGTTTGATATATGCTGCGTTCCTAGATGCGACCAGAAAGAGGGAGGGTTTAAGGCAGCGATTCTCAACCGGTGTTACGCAAGAGAAAAACAAGTGGTACGCAAAAGAGACAAAGTATTTTAAACTATTTAATTGAAAAACTAAGAACCCCAACACCCTTTTAAATTTTTTCTCTAACACTTGTAAATTTATGCGATCATAGACTTTAGCAAAATAATCCGTTTTATTTTCAACCATATTCGTTTAGCCATAGATATAACAAAATTTGTCAAAAAGGATGTTTTTAAAAGGAATAATAGAAATGGATGCTGTATTTAATAAGAATTAAAAATAAGTTCCTATAAAATGATAACAGTATCTCATTAATTCTTTTAGAGTTAATAGATTTTATTAGCGTGTCTACACTTTACGTCGCCACCATTTCCGTGCTCATATAGCTGTATTTTCAATTAGAATAATTTTTTTAAGTCGATTTGCAGTCTATAACAGCAGATATTTTGTCATCTTGTTGCTTTGTATTCCTTACTTTTGTACGCGATTTAAGAATATCGTCGTTTCTTTTTGAAGAACTCGTGATATATTGTGCATTTAAATATTTGTGAAAAAAAAAATAAAACAGTCATTTTCAAAATAGAAAAATGGCTAGTATTGACTAAGCGGAAAAGTTGCGATTTACAGGTGATGGATCCAGTACAATACTAAGAATATTGAAAAGAAAACTTGTTTACAGAAAATATAATGAAAGTTATTTATTATTTCGGTGTACTTGGAATGGAGATGAAATGGATCATCAACTTCAATGTGTTGTTTGCGGGGAACTATTATCTAGTCAAAGTATGAAAACATCGCTTCTTAAAATCTTAAATTTAAGCACTCCGATTTAAAGGATAAATCTGAAAAATATTTTAAGAGAGAGTTCAAAAATAATAACCAAGTAATGAAAGGTTTTTATTACTTCAAGTGAAAAAGCTTTAGAAGCTAGTTACCTAGTAAGCCTAAGAATTTCCAAGACTAAAGCGAGCTCACACCACTGGAAAATATCTTATATTGCCAGCAACTAAAGATATCGTTTTAACATTATTCAACGAAAAAACGACTAATGAACTTAGTAATATTCCGTTATCAAATGATACAGTAAGTCGACAAATTCATGAAGTGGCAAATTCCATAAAAGAGACACTTATTTCAAATAATAAAACGTAATGAGTATTTTGCATTGCAGTTGGATGAAAGTACTGAAATAACGAACTTTGTTCAATTATTAGTTTACAGACGTTCCGAAGAAGATAAACGAATTGCCGAAGAGAATTTATTTTGTTAATCTCTTCATGGTAAAGTGAATTTCTTTATGAAATTTTCAAAGTAATTGACAATTTTATGTCTGAGGATGATATTCCTTAGAATAAGTACATTGCCGTATACAGTGACCGAGCTCAGGCTTTAACAGGAAAACATTCCGGTGTTATTTCCAAATAAAGAAAGTCGTTTCTGAAACTGAATTTACTCACTGCTTCTTTCATCCTTAAGCTTTAGTAGCCAAAACAATCCCCAAAAACTTGAAAATCGTTCTGAATCAAGCTGTGAAAATTGTTAATTTTATTAAATGCCGAGTTTTAAATTCAAGAATATTTACGATTTTATGCCAAGAGATAGGCAATCATCATGAAACGCTTCTGTTATATTCCGAATTCAAAACTTTGCCAATTTTAATTTAATTATTTTTTATGAGTGCATTTTCAATTAAATAGCTAAGAGTTTGTGCAAATGGCAATATATATATATTTTTTAAATCTTTCTATCGAGAAATTGAAAAATAATCATTGTAAAATGTAGAGGCAGTACTAAAGTTTATCAGTTTTTATTTAGGTGGTACGCGTTAGTCAAAAGGTTGAAAACAGCCAAGGTCGAGAATAGCTGCTTTTTAAGAAATGACCTACCGCTAATGCCACAGAGCATGCGTAGTAGTCTTCTCTTCTAAAATGCGCTAACCCTTAAATTTATCTTTTTTCCTTTGGTTTGTTTTCAAAATGCGTGCTGCATGATTGATAAGACATGTTTTCTTATTCTTTCCTGCTTTTGTTGTGCAAAGTGGATAACTAGTTGAATCATGACCTTCAGACACAGAGTATTTGCCGAATAATTGCATATCGATAAAAAGAAACACAAACGACCTTATTTCATTCCGGAAAATGGAAACGGCAGCATTAATTTTCATCACTGCTCTGATTGCATTTGTGGCATTATTTTTGTCATGGAAAAAAAAGGGACAAAATCTTCCGCCTGGACCAATAGGATTGCCATTTGTTGGATATATTCCATTCCTAACAAACAAACCCTATGTTAAGTTACAAGAGCTTGCGAAAATATACGGGCCTGTTTACAGGTAAATTCAAAATTTTTTTTCAATTCATTATACGAGTAGTTTTCATTGCATTTTCATGGGATGCTAATAAAATAAGCAAATAAAAATATTTTTGTGTATGTATCCGTAGCTAAGGGTTGTGTAACTTTTTTACGACACTGTTTTATGATTCGGAGTTAGAGTAAAGCATGGTAATTAAGATTATACGGTATTTTCTCCTTCCTTCCATGCTGGAAGGAAGGAGAACTGAGGAACCTTACCACTGAGGCCTACGTGGGGTAACGGTAGCACACTCGTTTTGTATTCGAGAGGTTCAGGTTCGAGCCCCGGCGAGAGTATTGCTCATTTTTATATGTCTGCTGCTTCAAAAAAAAAAAAAAAAAAAAACGCCTAATGTCTCTGCAAATTTATTCGACTCTGGTCTTGAAATCTCTGAATCTCAGTGAATATCTTTATTTGAAAAACTATTACCCCTCGTCACGTCCTCCTCCTGTGTTAATAACGAAAGTGCTTCCGTTGCGGTGCTAATCAAGTTAATATTTTCAATCTCGATACTCAGCCGTATGTGCATTTAGCCATCGTTGTCGTGAAATGCGGGCATTTAGATCAGGGATTTTCCAGCATGATATTCATGATTGCATACAGCCCTCAGTGATATATTCCTACTAAACATATCTCCACTTTGTTTCCATAAGCCCAAAACTCGTGTCTTTTACAGAGCGAATTTGTGTGTGTTTTTCCGGCTTCGCATTCAAATCCTGGCGAACGGGATGGATGTATGACTGATTTCGTGATTTTTCTCATGCTGTAACGTAAGTACGAGCCAGTTTCCCTTAAAAACGCCTTGGCGTAGTATGTCTTCCCAAACGACTACAGCTTTCATATGTTTTGCCGTAATCCAGCTCACCCAATCCAGTCTTTTTTCATATCTAGTGCTTAGAAATAAAAAAGCTCACGAGAATCGAGGCTTTTTAACATGCTGCGTCAACAAGCTCTGAAAGGCTTCCTCCAGTCACTTTCAGGATCTGAAGAAATACTGACAACAGTATACTTACTCTAGATTGCAATAACTGTTAGGTAACCCTTTGAGTACTGAATTATTTAAAGATGGGACGGATTTAATTTGAAGATGGGCTCATGGGACGGATTTAATTTGTCGCTATATGGATTTGTCGCTATATGTAAAAGTAATACATTTTATTTGGAATATTCTTATACTGGTAACATAAATGTATTTTTGAAACAGCATTTTAGTTACAATGCTGATTACGGTGGACGAGTCAGACATGTCCACCATCACATTCGCCCAAGTAAGCTGATGACAAGTCTCGCTCGTCAAATGTACCCAAAGGGTTAATAGAAAGAAGAGAAGCGCTCCAAAGTAAAACATATAGATAGGCAAAACAACAATCTTGGGTGTGACGTGAATTTTAACAAGACTTTTCGATTCTGAGAAGGAAAATTTGCAAATCCTTCTTCATCAGGAGCAAAGAAATTCTGCTGAATTTCTTTGCTCCTGATTCAGAGCAGTGATCAGTGAATAAGCAGTGATCAGAGCAGTGAATTTCTTTCCGTTCAAACATTAGAAAGGCATCTTTTGAAGCATAAATATCTTTAAATTAATAGTACATTGCACATTTAAAGATTAAAAATGTCTTCTATCAGAAAACGAAATGTGAGATGTCACTTCTGTCTGGTCAAAAATAAAAAATAGTTTTCCTTAAATCGTGATGAACAGTTTCATCCATTTAAAGCTATCAGATTTCAATATTTTGTTACTCCAAGCAAAGTTGTCACATTTAGTGTCCATTCATGTGATACGGCATGTCCCAAGATAAACCGAACCGTAAGCAAGTAAAGTCTTCAGTTTATACTTTGTTTTATCGCCCGATATTAGACCAAATCAAGACCTTTTTCTTATCAATAATTGGACAAAAACGGCATATCATTTTTGAGTGTCCAATAATTTTACTTTCTTTAAAATACAATTTTACAAACTTCTGTGTCCGTAAAAAATGGAGCTAACCTGATGTTTGCGACTATGTCATTCAATCGACATGAAATAGTTCTTTTTCAAAATTAACACACAATGGTGATTGGTACATTTATCCAGATAATCATTCAAAGTTTAAGTAATCAAACTCATCATAACTAGAATGATTAATTAACCTCGAAATACTTCGAAGTATTAAGCATCCGATATCAAAAGTCACTGCGGGTTTCATTGATACTCCCAACGTATCCACGATGAACCCGAAATCCCTCCATGAGATTTATGGATGCCAGTGAAGCATGTGATGCTGGAGTGAGCCAGACTAAAAGCTGCGTTGTGTTGAGCTATAGTCCGAGATATTGTTCGGGAGCCAGAATAAAGTTTAACTTATTTCGGTAGCATGAACTAGTGTTTGGTAATGTCTCTGTGTCTAGAAAAGCTACAGAGTCTCGTGAAGGTTTGACAAACCTTTTTATTGAATCAGAACCTTGAATATAAATGACATTTCTCGTGTCCACATATACAGTTAACTACTTGTGGCGATGTAACTTATATTAAAATCAAATTTCAAATTAAAATTAAGACTAGCCAAAGCGTACAGAAAAGCTTTAACGCGAAGTTGGCTCAGTTTTCTCACCGTCTTTGCAATTTAACTGTCGGCAGCTATAAAACAAAACTGAATAATACAATCTTATCTAAGCTAGCGAAACTAGTAACGTGGCTTCGAGAGGCAGAAACACGCTCTGTTTAAAATTTTAAATACTAAGTTGCATTCTGACGAGGAAATGAAATGGAGAAGTGGCAGTAAAGATACAAAACATGAAATAATTGCTAGCGAAAAATAATTGCAACTTTACAACTAGTAAGATTAATAAAATTACATATAATTCAGAAAATCGCGCGAGGTGCTTTACGACGGATTGCCTTCAAGTCTTAACTACAAAATTATTTTTTTATCTGCTTACTGAATTTTATACAACTTCTCTGCGTTAAAAAAGTTAAAGAAATATAAGACAGGCTTTCCATAATAGAAATATAAGACAGGCTAAAGAAATATAAGACAGGCTTTATATAAGACAGGCTTTCCAGCATCGCTTTCCTGGGATCTTGTGTTAGTGTAGCCATATTACAGCTAATGCTAAAAATATTGCCTAAGAAATTGGATCCAGAGAAGATGCATGGTGGCGCATATTGGACGCAATCGGCCGCAACATTGCACGTAAAATTTCCTCTGTGCATCCTAGCTTTCTGAAATATTTGTGCTATCTTGACGCCTAGGTCTTCTACAGTTCTCTAATTGTCCTTATAATTTCTCTCGCTCATGGTATTCTTAGATGTAGAAAGTTATGGGCTGAAAAAGTCCAAGCTCTGAAAAAAAATCAGAAGATCTGTGTAGCCACAGTTCCTTTAGAATATCCTTACCACTTCTGTAATTAAGTAAGGCCACCAGGGGCAGAGCGGTTAAGTCCCTGAGCGCTGATAGTTCGGTTCGCGATTCAAAATCCCGGCGAACAGGCTGCTTGTATGAGCGTGTTCGCGTTTTTTCCCATGAGGAACGTATACGAGCCAGTTCCCTTAGAAAGTCCTCCACGAAGGTATTCCTCCACTTAGGCAGATAGCCTTCAAGTGTCGTAATTAAATAAGCCTAATCAAACCATCTATTATTAAGTAAGCGTTCGAAAGGACTCGTTGAGAATGAAACATCATTCACTTTCTATACATTGTGCAAATAATTCAGTTCTGTAGACAAACTTTCCTGACTCCATGAATAGATACGTCAAGTGAAATCCAAACAACCCTTTTGTTTCGGATGATGCAATAGCTGAATTCTATATAGCCAAGATTGTTGACTTTATTGTTAGAGCAAATTCATCTACGCGGTTAAACTACTTCTTTTTAATTTAAATTCAGTAAAATATGATTTCAGAGAAAATATATATATTAATTTTTCCTTCTTTCCAGAATTCAGATGGGTAGTAAACCTGTGGTGGTCCTGTGCGATTTTCAGACAATAAAGAATGCTTTTGCAAATGATGATTTCATGGGAAGACCTCCTGACTTCTTTAATGATCTCAGTGAAGATACCTTACGTAAATATTCAGAATAATTTCATATAGATTTTATATTATATGGAACAAATATTTTAGCATTATTTCACTAAAACTTTCTTAACTCTATGTAAATTATTGTTGTAATTGCTGTAGCATTACTATAGCAATGAATTTTGTTACATAATAGTTAAATCTATTGTCACGTTCACCTCCCTTAGAAGACAATCTCTGAAAGTGAGCAGTATTTCAAAGAATATAAAGTAAACATCGTTAGTGAATATCGCTTTACTCTAATATAACTGCTTGCATGAAGATTAGACTCATTTGTCAGAAGTCACTGTCCTCTACGACCGTGATCACCTGTCCGTATTCAGTAAAAGAGGTTCTTAATGCCTATACATGGTCCGAATAAAAAAAAGTAACATTCTAAATTCCTACGAATTTGCCGAATAATATGGCACAAAGGCTCTTAACCTGACACCACCTGCTTAATTTACTTATTGGCCAGAACAGGTTTGTAATTAGTTCTATATCTAATGGCTGTGTCCCTGGGGTTGCACCCCGTATGTATCCAAATTCATTCTGTATAAATATTAGCTGTTACTTTTGTGTGTTTAAACTTAAGAAACTCTTTCATAATATGCTCAGCAACGTATCAAACTTGTAGAGTCATTAGGTTAATTGGAAGCAGAAAAGATGATGAAAAATATGCAACCGCCTTCGCCGGGAATCGAACCACGGACACCTGGAATACCGGCCCAGCGTGCTACCGTTACACCACGAAGGCACGCTAGGGAAGTTGGAGAAATACCTTATACACTTTAAAAAAAAGACACACATAAAGCATCCTTAACAAAGAAAAGGAGCATATAAAATGTTTAAGTGTAGTCGACCGTCATTTGTAGCCGAACTTTACCATATCAAATCATCGCTCAGTGAGAAAACGCTGCGGTATTTAGATTTCTTTCCTTTTCCTTGGGGGCGTGGGGGGAGGGAATCATTATCACAATGGCGTAACATTAATTGCGTGTGTTTGAAGCAGTCTCCTGCCCATTTATGCAACGATGCGCAGAAGACTGTCTCAAACCATTTCACTCTAAAGAAAGATGGAACTTTATTATTTAAACTAATTTGGAGAAAAAGTGTAAAAGAATAATGAATTCAAAATGCTAAAGAAGCATTTCTTTTCTTTAGGATTTCATTACTTTATTTATGTAGTAAAGTAAGCGTAAACGTTAAGGAAATTAATACTGCTTACATAAAAATTGAATTGTATTAATCTTAATATATATATATATTCTTCTATATAACGCATAAAATTTTATTCATGCGATACAACGCAAGAGCTTGATTCTGAAGCTCCAAGAAAGGGATCAAGAATGGAGATTCCATATAATGAGCAAGCAGACTTCTTAAGTCTCATCTATTAATGCTCTTTCTGAATCGTGAGGCAATCTTTATTCAGTTCGTCAGTTGATTCACATACAAAGTTCAATCTTCACTATCATTTTCATCATTTTTCCTCTAGCATCTATTCCGATTTTGAAAACTACATGATATAATCAAAAAAATATTCCTTCGAAAATTTCAAAATAAAGAACGCAAAATAAAAAAAAGGAATAAAACAACTTTAATACAATAGCACCTGTCTCTGATGAAGGTTTCTTCCACAACACGTTGGAAGGGAAAAAGAAACTTTTATTTACGTTTCACAAGCATGTACTCGTTGACAAAATTAAGAGAATTATGTTTATTTTTACAAAAAGTATTAAAAAAAGGTACTAATTACGCAAATATTCAGAATTGAGCACGTAATCGTTTACTTGCGTGTACCCTTACGTGTCTGTCTACGTGCACTGAATAAATTTTATAAAGTCTTAGGTAAAATGAGTAGCCACGAAAGCATGGATGGTGGAATGAGATGAAGAATTGGCACTGGAGGCTGGCCAGTCACAAACGCAGGTGGCTACAAAATGCTCAGTGTTGTCTGCAATTTATGGGCACTGGATCCATATCGAGAAGGCCTGGACAAGGCCAGCTAAGATCTACAGCGACGAATGAGAATCGTTATTTGGCACTCTCAGCGTAGCGGCACAGGACTGTTACTGCTTCACAGCTCTTAGGTTAGCTGTATTCTGCCACTGAAACCCGAATATCACGGTATGCAGTTACCGAAGGTTTCAGGAGACAGGGCTGTATGCCAGCAGGCCCTGCTGTTTGCGGTCCGCTCACTGAAGCACACAAGCGAGCGCATTTAGTATGGTGCAGACAGCATGCGCCTTGAACCAAACTACAGTGAAACACCACGCTTTTTACAACACAGTCGAGATTCAACCTGGACACTGATTCTTGGCATACCTGTGTGTGGAGAAAGCCTTGAACACTATACCATCCTTCTCTCATGAGGGAAAATGATCATTACGGGGGTAGAGGCGTAATGGCTTGAGCAGGTATTATGTTGGACGGCCGCACACCTCTGCACGTGTTTGACAAAGGCTCCCTGATTGCTATGAGGTGCAGCTAGGAGATCGTAGAGCCCTATGTTTGACGTTTTAGGGGTGCGGTTGATCCTGGTTCCTGTTGATGGACGACAACGCTCATCCACACAGAGCTCAACTGGTCGACGACGACCTGGAAAGTGACAGTATTCCTCGCATGAATTGACAAGCCAAATCCCTTGACTTTAAACCTATAAAGCATGTCTGGAGAGCTTTGGGAAGGGCAATTTGATCTCTCCACCCTCCTTCGAGAACCATCACTTCCCGAGATCCATCCCCCTCGAAAAACCTCCGAGTACCAGTGAAAACTGCAGTACTGCAGGAAAGCATCGGCTGCCACAGAGACTCCTCAACTGCCTCTTATCCAGTATACCGTCACGTTGTGCGACCTGTCTGTCTGCGAGACCATACACCATAGTAGACTTATTTTCAATTCGATATCACAACATGGATTTTGGGTAAAAATCTGTCCATTAGTGTTTTCAGAAAATCTACATAATATGTAAGTTCTCTTGATTTTGTACACGAGTGTATATCAAGTGCATTAGGTGAGGAAATATTAGTTACTATTAGAACACAAACGTTCTGCCGGCAAACGCAAATATACGGCACCCATTTCATAAGTGAATTTCTATGCACAGTTGCAAAATGTTTAATGCCCTGAGCTAGTCATTCAGATCAGCTGCATCATTTTTCCAGAAGAAAGCAAGAGGTGTATTTCCAAGAAATTTCTGCGCGAATGCTCGAAGTTTAATAAAACAGTGATTGGTGTCGCAGGTTCCAGTACCTGAATCTCCACCGGTAACAATTTTTTATTAAGTACGAAAATAATTATTAAGACAAAAATATGTAACAATATGACCCTCTCCACTCGGGCTTCTCCTCAGTTTTATTTACTTCTTTTTCGTGTGCAGATCGAGTACATAAAGACCTTCGAACACTGTTAGTTCCACCTACATTCAAAACGTTATAAACAATCAGTCGCATGCACATTTTGTTTAATTTTACCTCGTACATAACGTGAATACGAACCAGTTTCCCTTAGCCATACCCCGTTGGATAGGTAATCTTTCAGTGCTTTGCCATACCTAATAAATCTAATCCATTCCCTCTTTCCTTTAGTGTTAGAAATCTACATGACCCTCTTGCGCTTACGCGATCACTTCTTTGTAGTTGCTGAGAATCTGTCTGACATAAATCAGTTAACTATAGACGTAGATAAAGTACATAATAATATCATCCATTTCTTGAACATATTTTAAAACTATGCTCAAAGGTGTTTTTTTAACTGAATGGGCTTACACATTAACTGAAGTGGGCATAGTTACATGCGCAAATGAGTACTGTTACGTCGGTTAAGGAAAAAAACATAAATAAAGCACGTATTTCTAATTCCCAAACAATTTATGTAAAAGATATGAAATAAATACATACCTGTACAATGATATGAGTGCTCAAAACAAATAGCAGTCAATGACACTGGTAAGCCACCTTCGGAAAATTATGAAGCCGAATTCCCTTGACTTTGCTATTTAACAAGTAATCTTTATTTACTTATACTCAGCAGTCATTCAATTCCATTCTTCTCAATGTTATCATCAGAATAAAGTCTAAAAAAAGCTCAATAAAGTTTTCTGCTGCAAAATTATATTCTGTTGCAGCTTTAGCCCTAAATTTGTCTTGAATCCATAGAAACTTGTTTATACTTTCTTGTTTAACATATTTTTCAAACCAGTTAACAACTGACAGATGATTTTCGAAAACAGTTGCTTGTAAATATCCATTACAGTCATGCCTACCATAGCATCAATACATTCGATGGCCAGATTCTGAACTGGTAATACAGCACCCGCCGCTTATTAAACTCGCTGGTTAATAAAACCAATCACTTATTACATTCAAATTTCCCAAGAATCAAAACAAATATATTCTAATCAGTAGATAAACCGCCATTTAATAAACTCATCTCCGCTGCTTATGAAACTCAAATTGGCAAAACATTTGTTCTTCAGTGACGTGATAGCCTATATTTGTACATATTTTTACATATAAAACATATAAAAGAAAAAAAGGGCTAAAGTCAGTTTCAGCCCTTTAGCGTATTATGGACCGTAATTTATTTATCGTTCATTTATGAAGTGTTTTAATAAAAATGGATTTCACCGAAGGTTTTCTACCTTTTAGTCTCTACCTGTGAGACACTGTTTTCAGAAGTCCTTAATTTCCTTAGCTTAAGGTTAACAAAAAGAATCCGGAGAAATGCGCTGAGCTTTTTATTTAGCTATTAAGAATTTAGTTTCAGTGTATGAATATAAAAAAACTGCTTTTATTTAAGTTTTGGCATTTACCAACATTCTCTATATCTTTTGCTGTTTAATTTATAAAACACGTTAGAAAATAATCTAAATAGATGTGTGTACGTACTTTTCAAGTTGGGGAAAGAAAGAGGGAAATGATTTAGCAATCGTGAAAGGAGTGCATCGGTCGAAAACGCTTGAGAACCACTGCTCTAGAGGCATGGTAAAAGAGTAAGTGTTTCTT